TGGCCATTATGGAGCTCCGGTTTGGGCTGGGTTCCTCAAGCCCCGGCACGGTGGCCCTGCTGCGACGACCGCAGAAGACCATCGCGACCCGGGCCGTGCGAGCGTACCGCACGGTCAGCCACGGCGCCGCCTGCGTACTCGCGGGTGCGACGCCGTGTGATCTCGATGCGCAGGTCCTGGCAGACGTGCATCGAGGTCGCCTCATCTCATCGCGCAGACAGAGGCCATGCGGCGATGAGATGAGGCACTCGCCCAAGTGAGCGCCACCGGGCGATTTCGATGATTCCTTTTTTTATTACAATATTTTTTTTAGTGAGGTGGTGGTTATAGGTTACCTGGTCTGCATTAAGTATCTGGCTTAGTAAGTTGATGTGACTCTGTCTTATTAAAACTTTCAACAATAACTTTTCTAACACAAATAAAATCCGACTATATAAGAGGAAAAACCACTATAAAGTAAAAAATAATACAATTCTTTACTTATCTAAAGTCAAATTAACATTTTGAGCCGGTGCCTTGCATGTTGATAGATCTGAGTTTACTGCTTGGGTTGGCATGGCACCGACACCAAATATTAATTAGACTTCAGATCTATGTAAAAAAAGAATTATTTCTTCCTTTTTTATAAAGTTATTTTTGGTAAAAAAGTTTTCATTAATACGACTTTTAAGTTTCTCAGGTACCTAACTCAAAACTCACGGTGTATAATATTAGAGAAATTCAAATAATTAAATTCTTTCGCAGTTGTGAGAAGTCAATTCTTCCATAAGATCACGTATAAAAAGCTGTTTGAATCCGTAGTTCAAGGAGCTCATTAACGAGGCTTTTGAGGACGTTATCTCACGAAGGTCGTTTATCAGATGAAAAACCGTATTATTTAGAATCGTGCAATTTAAACAGTTGGTTCATTATGTAATCTGCTGTCGCTTAAAACCTTGAACTGGCAACGTGATCATATAAGTTATTTATAAATTTTCCTCAAAATGAAAGTACTTTAAAATTATTTTAAATAAGCAATAAGCCCAATCTCCATATTCCATCCATAAAGAAAGCTTGTGCCCCAGCAGTGAATACATTAATAGGCCGGTGATGATGATGAAGCAATAAGCGTCTTAAAGATTAAGGTAATGAGCTGAATCCCGCATGATTTGATTAAAGCGCTCGTCTAGGAAAGTTCCCTCCCTATTGAAAGAGTCCGTGGACAAATTAAACAGAAAGACGTCTTAACGTAGCTACAAAGGGTCTAATTTCAACTCATATTCATATTCAGTTAGACATTTGTAAGAAACGGATTCCAAAGTTATACAGTGTGGCCCAAAAGTAATCACTCTAATGCAAAATGGCGTTTATACGTCAATAATATTAGATTTTTCGGAACAAGACAGATGCAGAATATAAACAGACAAGCAAGGAAGCATGATATTCCTCAGGAGTGTGAACATGTGTGATTTCAACAAGACAGTGAGTAACCGCACGCTTAATCTCCTCCACAGACTTCGTTCATGGGGCTACTGAAAGTCTCGGGTTTATGCCAACAAGCCTCAGACAATCGCGCAGTCCTTATAGAGTTATTACAGTCCTTATAGACAGGAATGCGAACGAAAATTTTGCGGCTATCATGGAAAATACAGTAGGGGAGGCTGGGGCTGGAAGTTCCAGGAGTAAATTGTTCCGACAGTTATAACTTTGTAAAGGAAATAGATATCAATAAACGTGAAATGCACCGTTTAAGCATCAGGTGATGCGCCGCGTTGGCGGCCATCTTCGTTGCTCCGATTGTAGCGGACGAGTCGCTGTGTGCACCGTGCCATTAAACACCACGTGAGTAAATTTTTTCGTGTTTAGTCTTTTTGGTCTATTTTTATTTATTATTGACCGATTTATGTGTGTCTTTCCTATTTAAGAGTGGCATAAATTAGGTTAGATTAGGTTACTTTGCTAGTATGACAGTTTTTATACAAAAACTTAATATGGGGCTACAAGTTCCTTCTTATAGGGGCTGGTTGTTCCCCGGAACAACTTACGTCTTTTTTCATTTTTTAGGATGAAACTTCCAAAAAAACTTCCAAATCGTTATTACCTACACCAAGCTGCCAATGCTGTCATACAAGATGGAAGAAAAATATATTTTTAAATGTATGCATGAAGCTGGTATTACTTATGTGCGACCCAAATTGTGAGTCAAATGAAAAATTGAATGATGAATAATAATCAAAGTTGCCAAAGTTAATTATGACTGCTTAAAACAAGACTAATGATTAGTCTTAATTGTAATTCCACTAAAATAAAAATATTTTTTTAACCTCAAGAATACAGTAAATGAAAAAAATATGGACGTTAGAAGTTTCGTTTTGTTATTTGATTAGAGTTGAAGTTGTGATCTCACTTGTCATCACACTTATTATTGAAACGTTAGTCTGGAGGTTACCAGTTGTGTTATTTAGTTTATATAAATGCAGTTATGTATTTGATAAGAGTTTTAACTTAATGAATCTCCATTATAGTTTTAAAGAAACATTTACCTGAAGGTTACCAGTTATGTTTATGTTTTATTATAACACACAATAAATGTAACTTTAAAAATTACTGTTTTATTTAAAACAAACGTATATTATTCTCATATTGTATTTCTATTATCGAAGCGGCACAGTTTAACCCACACATGGAACAACTCGCTGTGAATGTTCCCTTCCGAAATTTTTCAAAAATATGACTGTAAAAAAAGCTATTGAGATATCGGCAGATATTTCTATACTATTAAAAAGATCGATTAAGATTCTTTAATAAATTTGAATATCAAAAATAAAACTTATCATTTTAATCATATAATTCCATGTTATTGAAAATCGGAAGTTTCAGCCCCGGTCTGCCCTAAAACAGGCATCATAAATGAGTATCAACAGCGGAGGCAGCCAATTCAAGATAGAATAAAGATTTTCATCGCTCAAAATACTGTTTTCATTAAGAAAATAAGTTATACGAAAATACATTGCATGATTATTAACGCCATTTTGTACTTTAATATTTCCAGTCAGAACTTTGTATCTTTCGAATTTCAAATTATAGGTATCAAGATAGAAGTCGAAGTTAGAGAATTAGGGTGAAAATGAGACTTTTGTGAGCTACGGACAGTCATTGCCCAACTTCCTTTTATTATCATTGCATCTGGAATTATTCTTTAAATGGAGCCCGCGCTGGGATTGCTACCAGTACCTCTAGCACGAACCATTATCGAATTCTGTATGTAATTTTGTATGGAAAGTTGAACAGCAGCGGCACAAAGTACGTAACGAGAACTAAAAATCAGTACACATTTGACAATGACATTTCGGACTCGCAAACGTTACGAATTCGATATTGGTTCGTGCTAAGGGTACAGATTGGCGGCAGCACCGGTGTCAATGTAAATCAGCTATTTTTTATAGAAAGCGCAACATATTACCACAACCCTCCTGATGGTAAGTGTAAGTGGGGACCAGTTGCGAAGATAGATGATGCGGAAGAAAATGCGCCGCTCCAGCCATTCTCACCTTGTCGGCCTGAACGCAATCCCGTACCCCGCAGAGCCCTAGAATCCTTCACATCGGCAGAAACACAATACCACAAACAAGGTAAGGCTATTTTACTGAAGTCTTCTGTAATATGGAGGTTGCTTCATCAGTCGGGCGGACGCTCCAAATCCACTGTGCCCTACCTTTCTTAAAATAATATCATTACACCTTTAAAGTTCACATTTTTTTTGTAGTTGTCACAACTTTTACCTATAGGGTGATATCGTATCTATACGGATGCAAAGTTTTCATTGCTCATGACTTTGGAAAACATTTCTACATATTCTTGTTATACAATCTAATACTATATGAAATGTACTTCCTCTATACAATTATCTGTGAACTAAAGTAGGTCAAGTGCATGTATCAACGTGTTGCTTGGGGTTCATTAGAAAAGGTTGAGTTGTGTTGTTTTGTAGCTAATAATACTAGTTTAATTTTTTTCATCTTAAGCATGTAACTGCTCGATGTTTAAATCTAAAGAATCAAGTAATATTTACTAGAAAAAAATCGACGCGGGCCAGGCAGTAGACGGGACTCGGGACTCAACTCGAAAATTGTGGGTTACCTACAATGCGAAGAGATGGCGCTGCCTTGCAACTTAAGAAAGGCTAGAAAGAATTCGACACGGCCAACAGGGCCGCCGTAGCATAATGGTCAGTGCATTTGCCCAGATAGCAAAGGGTGCGGGTTCGAGTCCCGTCTGCTGCCTGGTCCGCCTGGATTTTTTTCTGGTAAAATTTTCTTTAGATCTAATAATACTATTTATTGTATTTTAGAGAGCGAGCGATAGTTTATGATTTCACTGAACCAAGCCAGAGATTATATCAATCACTTGACTTTTCCAAGCATATTATAAAGATGGTTACCTGTTTTACGAATCCCACTTGTCCCACCACCGTATTATCTTTGATAGCTCTTTGTTGCTGAGTGACATACTAGTGGAGCGATTTCTCGCCGACAGTGCACAGTCAGCGATCAAATATTAATATATATAGGTCCCGGCTGCATCTGCAGTCGTTAGCACCCACCAATCCGCACTGGGCCCGAGTGGTGGGTCATGGCCCAATCTCCCCATTCCATCCATAGGGAAGGCCTGTGCCCCAACAGTGGGGACATTAATAGGCTGATGGAGAATGATGATTGTACACTCGATTTCCATTCCCCACCCTCGATCTTTCGTAGTCGGGTAAAAAAAGACGAGTTTCAAAGATTTCACACGCAGGCACTTCCTAGGGATCGGCGTCTTAAATTTCCTATTTTTCTTAGGAATCTAAGTCACATGAAATAATTATTACCAATAAACCTACGGAATACAAAAAAACGTAATGCGTATTAATCACTTATCGCAATAGCGTCAGTGAGTTTATGACGGAGTACCTCGGATCATGTGGGTGATCCGTTATTCAAATGGAAACTAAATGATGTATATAAAGTGGTAGTAGACATATCACCTCGTATGTGTTGCATCGGCGAGTATCTATCGAGTTTTACTAAACGTTCAACATGTTGCTGTTTTTAATATGGCTCACTGCAATCAAAATTCATTCCTGTTTCGGCACAGGTAAGTTAGAAGTTATTTTTAAATGACATATATAATTATTTTCACGTAAAAAGTCAAGGCTTCAGTTAATCCATAAAATCATTTCCTAGGCAATATCATTAGCAACTGTTCGCGTATTTTCACTCAATTAAGCAAAATAATGTTGCATGGATTTGGATAAAATTTTGCATAAATAGTTTATAATTTGAGATCGGTTACATTTATCCCGAAAAAATGTTAGAATGCTGAAGTTGATCTCTGGAATCATTTACTCAACTAAGGGTATTTTGAATTGGCTACACTTTACCAATTCAAAATACTCTTAGTTTTTCTTCATACTTTAAGAACATAGAGCAACACGGCCGCCGCGGCCAGGGGGGAAGTAGGCACAGCTTTCCCTTCTGCCGATTTTCCCCCGCTGTTGGGATAACTCACATAACAAAACTAGTTGCTCTCGTATATTTCACTAGACTGAGTCATGCCGCACGAGCGTATGTTAGAGATCAAAAATTTCAAAATGTTCTGTAATTTGCTGTAAAACATACCTGGAACATCAAATTTACAAAAGCATGGTGTTAATTTCACATATAAGTAGAATGACTATTTAACCTCTTTTAAACACAAAATTCATATTATCTTGTTAAAATTCAATCGTCCCACTTGTTTGACAAAACAAAATACTTGTATTGTATAGTGCTATTCAAATAAGAATAGGAAAGCCAATGACCTACATCTGTCAAATGTCGCTTGAAAACTACGATTTGCAAAAAAATCTTGGAACCCTACCAAACACTTGTAAACAAACAATAATAAATATTAATAATTATTAATGTTTGATATTTTTTTTCATTTATTGAGCTTTGGCTATGAATGGTTGATAACCTAAATCGTCAACCAAATGTCACTTTAAGTTGCGTTCAGAAACTTTCGTTTACATAAAGGATGCATGAACCTAGTAATAGTGCATGATTATCCATAACTAATCCGGCGGTAATGCTGATCTCAGCATCTCAGGTCATCTGACCGAAATTGAAGAGCTAGATTCTAATTTAATGTTTGTTCTCACACAGTCATAATAAATAAATATTATTAAAAATAGGTTGTTTTTTTTTCTCAATCTTAGTAAATAAATTATAATAAAAAAATCTGATGTTCTCACTTAATCATAGTAAATAAGTTTAAAAACTTTTTTTTTGCTCACTCTACCTATTTAGTTTGAATTGACAGTTATCATGTCATAATATGGCGCCCAGTCGGTCCTATTCTTAGTTGAATCGCATTATAAGTACATATTTTGGAACCGTCTATCAAAAAAGCTGAAGTTACTCTTTGAATGATTTAGTGTTGTACTCTACAGTGGTAGTATGTCGATAAATTTACTAACGACCAAAAACATGTATACATGGACATAGTTTTTTTTAAAGTTTTTAGTTGATCACTATATGTATATGAGTTCCATATTTAAGAGGCATATTCTAATTTTATTGCGGTGTTATAAGTTAGTTTTGCGAATGTATGTTAGACTGCATTTGTGTGCATATTCCTCCCCTAGCAAAATGTGGCAAAATGATTTCAGTAGTATTAGGTCACTATGGCTACTCTCCTCGTGGCCGGCCGTGTTGCTCTATGGTTAAGAACTGACAAACGAAAGATATTTTAGAACAGCAAAAGCACTGATAATGTGCCAAAAATGCAAATAGAGCTTTTATATTATTGCCACGGGACTTCTTTTATAACTATGACTCTAATATTATAATGCTACCTATCAGTGCTTCAAAGATACTTTCTAATACATTTGATTGAATCCCAAGTACAACTCCACATATTTGAGCGGGATAGGTTGTGTAGAAAGTTTGATATTATGTGATTTTGTTTAACTTTAAATTATTTATTAACCTATTAACTTATATTATGAACGATATTCAGTTGTTTTTTATCAATATTATCATAATGCCTCTCCCACACCTGCGTCTATTGCCACGAAGCCTCGTCGATGGTCTCGATAAACGTAGTCGTGTGGTCATTAGCGGCTATCGTAACGTACGTATAAGTATTATTCTATCGAGCTGCTTCACGATAGATTCTAGAAGATATCTTGACCAACGATTTTCGATTTACATCAAACAGGTTTTGAGAGATGATTAAAGAAGCGTACTTGTACGCCTTTAGGGCCGATAATTTGGACGCAAATTTTAGTGCATTAAGTAGTCGAAGCTCGTCGTGCAGATGTGTAAGAGGCATTAGCCTATTAAATAATATATCTTCACAACTAAGATATAGGTCTTTTCTATGGACACTAAGCTTTACGTCATTACTTGCTGGACTTTAATATGACGATGGTGATGATGAAGAAATCTATAAAGACAACAAATTTGGTACAATCTTTATTTTTTCAATATTTATAGATGGCATCATACTGTCGGAGAAAGTATCGGTGTCTTCAGAGGATACTGTAGTGGCTGACGACCCGCTCCCGGTTGTATCTTCTGATCGAATCGTTGGAGGACAAGAAATTGACATTATTGAGGTTCCTTATCAAGTATCGTTCATTGTTAACAATTCATACTTCTGTGGCGGATTCATCGTTAGCGAGAAACATATACTCACCGCAGGACATTGTGCTCAGAAGTGAGTTTAATAGAATACATAATTCTTTGCATCCTCCATCGAAGAATGGCATGCTATATCACCTCAGTCCAAACAAATTTAAGAACCACATTTAATAATTTAATAATCGTTTTCATTCCAGTCGCAACATTTAAACCAAGTTAAACGGGTCTAAATTGTAATTCCAAAACTAAACAAGTAGGACGCCAACTTTTGAGTAAAAAATCACCAATAGAAAAATTGTGGCTTAGTTGTTTACACAATTAAGCCCCAGCCCCAGACACTAGTAAGGTACACTTCCCAGTGTCGTTTACACTGGGGCATGGAGGCGTAGTAGTTGGAATTTCTCATTAAGTAAGCATGCTATACAGTGTGGGTCTATTCAAATCGCGAGTAAAGAGGTTGCTTTTCCCAGACCTAGAAGTTACAGCAAAGTTCAGAGTATTAGTCTATGGTGGCAGATGAGATTAAACTATATTCTTAGCCGGGTGAAAATTTTCTGTCACTTCTTTCGGATAGTAAGTGTGTCGTAAGAGTAACGGAAATATAGTCACAACGCAAACTTTATTGCCTATTCATCTAATGCATGTGAAAATCCCAGTTACTAAAATATTTGTTGTTTGCCTGTATTTGCATACATGCATATGCAAATACATGCAACCGTAATCAGGAGAAGAGGAGTTTGCTTGCGCAAGCAGTTAGCACGTTCGACTGCGATCGTTGAGTTAAGCAACTTTGTCATTGGATGGGTGACTAAAATTTTACTATATCGAGCTCCTCCTTGATTCGGAAGGCACATTAAGCCGTTAGTCCTGGCTGCATCTGCAGTCGTTAGCACCCACCTATCCGTACGGGGCCCGCGTGGTGCGTCATATCCCAATATTTGTATTCGAACCATAGGGAAGGCCTGTGTCCCCGCAACGGGAAAAATAATAGGCTGATGATGATGTATGCAAAGATGAACCTGCCTCTCATAGCACAGGGTGACCCTTAAGACAATAATTTAATGAATACTAAGAATAAGATAATTTTGTACTAAAAACAAATATATGTAAAAATATTTTTTTCTTTTAATGTCTTCATCAAAAATAGCGTAGATCCCAGTACAGTGGTACTTCGAGCGGGCAGTACTTGGCGGAAGAATGGTACCATTATCCCGATAGCAAAAGTGACACCTCATCCTCAGTACAATGACCCAGCATTCGACAAAGATGTAGCTGTCATGCAGACTGTTGAACCGATGAATTTCGATGAGACGATGCAACCGATCCCTCTGGCGCCAATGAATAGGAAGATGAAAGGCGGCACGGAAATTGTGGTCAGCGGGTGGGGACGAACGCGGGTAAGTGGAATATGAGTCACGAGTACCCTTGAGAGCGATTCAAACTTTTTGGTGATTGTGAAGTGAGCAGCCAGTATATATGTAGGATTCAGTTTAATAACTCTCCATGAGCGTCAACAGCACCCTTCAATTTGTTTTATGGGACGCTTTGCGCTAACTTTACTAACGGTATTAAGTTTGAATCTCACTGGGATGGTTTGTGGTTCTTCTACAAGGCAAAAAAAAAGCGATGGGATAAATATTGTCAACTACCCAAACATAGTTTTTTTTTTCAGATAGGCACGTCTTTTCACGTCATACCTTTATGGATAGATACTGTAATCCATAAAATCTGGTTTTAGTTATCTGCCCTTGCTTCCTTTTGGTGGATACTAAGTATAAAGATTAATTTGCAAAAAAATGCGAAAATTTTAATTTCGGCCTCGCGATCACTACTTACTTAATGTAATATCACATATTTCTAATACTTTCTACTCATAAATGACTATTTTTTTTAAAAAAAAAACTCACACAAATTAGCCTAGCTCCAAAATAAGCACTGTAAGGCTTGTGTTATGGGATGCTAGGGTAACGGATATAATACATATACTTTACATATATAAGTATATTTATATAGAAATACATATTAAACATCCATGACTGGAGTACAAATGCTCGTATTCATCACACAAACATCTGCCCCCACCGGGATTCGAACCCTCTCGAGTGCCGACTCGACACCATGAAACCCGGCGTACAAAACACTCGGCCACTGATGTCGTCAATATATAATATAATAATGTCCATTACATTATTATATTATTAAGATAATCATCAACTTCATTATATCCCTTACTCAGTCCAAGCTCTAGTGCGGAAACAAAAATTTTAGACCCTTTTCAAGTCCCGTGTTCACGAGAATGTTGGGAATGTTTTTTTTAGAAACATTCCTCGACAAAAAAACATTGGTTTCAAAATGTGGGAAATATGTATAAATATTTAAAGCGCACCGGTTCTAACCCCTTACAAAAATGTTTTATTTAAAGTTGTACCCGCGACTTTGTTCGCGTTGATGTTGGAATATAACAACTTTTCGTACATAGATGGGTGAAATGATTTTTATGGTGAAGGAAAGAGTTCTGCTTTCTTTAGGCTTTACTCTTTGTAAACGATATTAGTTATAAAATCTTGTAGAACATGAAATGTAGATTGCTGGGGTTATTTAAAAGCAACAGAGCTTCATACTTATTTAGGCAATTGAAAAAGTAACAAAAACCTACCTGAGGTCCATTCCCAAAGAGATAATAGTCTGATCCGGTTTCTTTGGGCTGACGGGCCCTGTACTGTCCGAGTCTCCGCCCTGGGAGCTCGAGGCCGAAGTCTTGGCCGAGAACTACCAATATAGGGTAGAGGTGGGACAAACAGAGGAGAGGCCGTCCGTCACCGGAAGAGAGGAATGGGGTGCATCTGCTCGCATGCGATAGACAGCTGGAAAGGTGGAAAGAGATACTTACCTTTGGTTCTCGCACAATTCAGGCGGTGCGCCCGGTACTGCTGGAATGGGTGCAGAGGGGGCATGGTACGCTGACCTTTTTGGTGTCTGGGAAATGCCTTACGCATCCTTCAACCACTGGGGGAGCGAGAAGAAGGTATGTGGGACTCCTCCCCGTTCCTTTCAGCCAGCCTTTGGACACTTGGATGAAGTGAACAGGGCCCTACCTAACGCCTGAACAGGGCCACTAAAAACAGACAATACTCCTGCACTGTCACCCGACACGCACTATGAGGACCGCGGTCTCCCTAGTGCGTGCCAAGGGGGCGGGTGTGATCGCGGCACCCGTTTCCAAATGGCCGCGCACCCGCCAGGGGTTTGTCCGTGGACGGACCCACCCCGATGAAGATGCCACGGAGCATCAGGGGCATCAACATCTAGAAAGCTAGTGCAATGCGAAGCACCCGCGCCCGTTCCTAATGAAAAAAGTTTTTTGATCAAAAGTCTCAAAATTTATATACCAATGGGATCATGTCCCTACCAACAAGATGGCAAAAAGTTATGGAACAAAATGACACCTTCATACTTTAGTTAAATGAAAATAAAATTTATTAAAAAAAGTTTTGTTTTTTCATATAAAATACGAAGAAACTTTTTCCCCAACCTTTAATATTTATCTTTTTCTAAGTTGAAGATTTAAAATAAAACGTAATTCTTTTACTACAGCACAACCAGTGGTACCAAATTAAACTCTTTTGAGTCCTTTTTATTACGAAAATATATATTGTGTACTGAAAAAGTTACTGCAATTTTAAAAGTGTAATACTTAGTTTTGCAGGCCAGGTTGTTCTTATCTTTCTAATATTATAAATGTGAATGTTTGTATGTTCGTTTGTTACTCAATCACGTAAAAACTACTGAACGGATTTGTATGAAATTTGGTACGCATATAGTTTATGAACTGGATTGAGATATAGAATACTTTTTATCCCGGAAAAATATTAGGTCTCTGCGTTAATGCGGATGAAGTCGCGGGCGAGGGCTAGTCTATACATACACAGTCAGGTCATAAGTACTGTCACACAGTAAAACTTTTCTTTTAGAAAGCTGGCCACAAAAAAGTTTATTGAATTCGAATTTCGAATTGTTCATGAAAATAAAAATGTATACTTTTTAGAATTTTACTCATTTTTAAATATGGAGTGGACGCTTAAAGAAGACCGTGTTGCCGTCCATCAAACGATACAATGAAAATTCTAGTGTAGATGATAGGTCAAGAAGTGGTCGCCCTCGGTCTGTTAGGACTCCAGCAGTGATAAAAGCTGTGAAGGCGCGAATTCAAAGAAGACCCAAACGTAAGCAGAAACTGTTAGTACAGTCAATCTGTAGGTTGGTGGTGAAAAAAAAAACCTAAAGGGTAAGTCTTGTTTATTCTGTTGCCAAATGACGTCAGTAAGCCACCTTGGCGATGGGCATGTTCAACTCGTAGGCGTTTTTTGAAAAACTCAAAAAAACCGTCAAAAATTTTTTGAAACGCATTTTTCTTGTTTTGTATGCATTTTAGAAACTTTTTTTTCGACCATAATTGTAGAGGGCGTTGAGTATTACAATTTATGTCATTGTTGCAATCTCGTACAACAAAAAATGCACATTGTAGGTGGCGCTAAAGTCTCAAAAAAAGTGTTTTTTCACTTTTTCACCCTGAAAATATCATTTTAATGGAAAACTTTAAATGGAAAAGTTGTTCCGTAGATAATTACCAACAACTTTTGTATAAACCATTTTTTTGTATTACTTACAGTTTTTAAGTTATAAATTCCGCAGGTATGAAAAATCCAATAGAGCGGTTTTGGGCAGTTCAAGTACATATTTGCAGTGCACATTTCAATGTACGTTTTTACTATTTTTTTTTTCAATAATGAAAAAAAATAAAAATAAAACTTTTTTTTCATTTTTTTTTTGTTTTTCAATAATGAAAAAAAATAAAAAATATAATAAATATAAGATGAAAAATTTTTTTTCACGGAGGTCATTTTGAATAAACTTTATTGTCATAAGAATCTATATTTTGTTAAGTTTATTTTGGTATTCTTAATAACTTGTTTCAATTATTTTATATTAAACATGTGACAGAATTTATGACCTGAATATGTATAATAAAATGGTAGGAAAATTAGAAATGTACATTTAATGTTTTTTTAAAAGAATACTTGGGGTGTGATCTGCAATCGATACCGAAGCCAGAAATATACTTTTTAGAATTTTTGTCTGTTTGTCTGTATGTACGTCCGGGATAAACTCAAAAAGTACTGCATGGATTTACTTCAAATTTGGCACGAATATTATTAAGAAGTCGGGTCAACATATACATATTATCACGCCATCATCTACGGGGAACGAGCAGTGCTACTTTATTTCTTCAACGCATCTAACTCCATGCGTACGAAGTCGTGGGCGACCGCTAGTAAGAAATAAATATGGGATTCATAATTTCAGGAAGGGGCCCCCACAATCCCTGATCATTTGATGGCCGTCCAGATACCGGTAGTCACCTGGAACCAGTGTTATATGACCTACTTTTCGGTACTGACTGAAAATGAATTCTGTGCCGGCAACTTATTTCTTGGAGGCCAGGGAACATGCCAGGTACACGATAAATGATAAATTTTAATAATAGGAATTGTTTCTTTTTTAATTCTATTAAATTTCTTTTTAAGTCTAAAGAAAAATGTAATAGAAATAATTCCACGTAGTCCAGAGATCAGACGGCAGACTCGAACCCGCGCCTTAAGCCATCCAGGCGGATGCACTGACCAAAATTTTTTTCAGATTTTAACTTCTAGCAGTTAAATGCTTAAAAAATGATTAACAATAATTGCTATTTCTTCTTACAAATGTTTAATATTTGTTAAGGTCATTTGACATTGTAGATTACTTACAATGCGAAGAGATGGCGCTGTTTTGCAGCCTGAGAAATACTAGAAGAAATTCGACACGGTCATTAAGGTCGTGGTAGTATAATTATAGTAGTAAAATTTATATTAAGGTAAATATAACATTCTCAACATCCTCCTCCGTGCTTCGGACGGCATGTTACGCCATTGGTCTGACTGCATCTGCAGTCGATGGCACTGGGCCTGCGTGGTAGTCATGGCCCAATCTCCCTATTTCATCCATAAGGAAGACCTGTGCCTGAGCAGTGCGGACATTAATAGGGTGACGATGATGATAAAATATTACATTATAATATTATTTTCAGGGTGATTCCGGAGGCACTGCAATCCAGGACGGCATGGCTGTAGGCATAGTGTCATACGGTCGAGGTTGTGGACAGCCACTCAGTCCCAGCGTCTTCGCTGATGTAGCGGCCCCCACCATCAGAGAATTCATCAAGGAACACACAGGACTCTGATTGTGTTATATATTCAATTTACTCGAAATAAAAAAAATATATTGCGAATATCTAACCATTTTTTTTTAGATTTTTCCTCTCAGGTGTGATGAGAGCGAGTTTGAAATTCTCATCGACACCATATAGCCATATATATAGTGGTAGGGTCATGTAAGGCTCGTAAAATTTTCTTCAAATTTAAACATCCACCAAAAAAAATTACAATTGCTATTTCTTCTTTCAAATGTTTAATATTTGATGGGTTACCTATAATGCGAAGAGACGGCGCTACCTTGCAGCCTTAAAAATACTAGAAAAAAATCGGTCGTGGTAGCATAATGGGTCAATGCATCCGCCCGGATAGCGGAGCTGGATCGCGTTTTTCTAAGTTTAATTTACTCGACAATAAAATGTATCGAGTAAATTAAACATAAGAAAAATTCCACTATTTATAAGTGATCCCCTCCAAAATTTCCGGTTGCAACGGCGCTGGCGCCTGTACGAGCCTTACATGACCCTACCGCTATATATATGGCGCTGCCTTGCAGCCTTAAAAATACTAGAAAAAATCGGTCGTGGTAGCATAATTGGTCAATGCATCCGCCCGAATAGCGGTGGGTGCGGGTCCGAGCCCCATCTGCTTCCTGGAACGATTGTAATATTTTCTAGCAAAAAAAATCTTTAGATGTTTCTAAGGATTAAAGCTAGTTTCAGTAGAAGCGAGGTTAATCAAATTTGCTGCAAGTGGGCCTTATGATGGTTAGAGGGTTTTCAGCTTGGATTTGGAGCGCTCATCTGGGAAAGTACATACTCATGACCCACCACAAGCCCACCACCATCCTTAGAAATCTGCAGTAAAATAAATCTCTTAAATATCTTTCTGCAGCCACTTATTTTAACTCCTATTGTGATACCTTTGAATGGAACATCTGAAAGAAAGGATTTCCAAAGTATTTTGAAGTAATGCTTCTCCCACATCGACGGGACGAATCTTTGGTACTTACTTAAATACGCAAACTGCGAGTGTTATCACTTGATATTTTATATTATTGTAATAAAATGTATAATTTATTCAACCGTTTTCTTGCTTTAGTCACTAATAAATCAAATTGGCTATTATTGACAAAATAATGATGTCGATTCTGGCATGATTCTCGAAACTTATAACTGAATTTAACATCAGTTTCTCCTTTTCATTCAGTAGAACAGGGATACACCGTTATGCTTTTAGTATTTTAGGTATTTAACTACTAGTTGTTTAAATGTAAAGAAAATTTTACTAGATAAAATTCCACGCGGACCAGGCAGCCTGCACCCTGCACACTATCCGGGCGAATGTACTGACCATTATTCTACTGGGGCCCTGATGACCGTGTCGAACTTTCTCTCCTAGTCTACTAGTCGGCATTCCCAGCGTTCCCCTTTGTCGTTTTGCTCACGAACAAAACTAAGTCTGGAATATTAAACTTACAAAAGGATGGTATTAAATTTTACATATAACTAGAATTATTAACATACTATTTTCAAACCTTGACGATCAAATACGTGATTCTATTAATATCGTAATAAAATGACTGTCAACCCTAAATCTTAAAGTGAATCTAGAAAAGACAAAGAGTATGCAATTAAGGAATCACAAAAAGAAAGTCTATAATATTGACATAGTTATCAATAATAAGAGAATCGAGCAAACAAATGAGACAAATTTTCTAGGCATTAATATTGACCCCCATCTCAATTGGAAATCACATATTAATAAAATAAATAATAGATAATCTAGTAAATGTTACCTTGTATCAGTATTGACTAATATAACTTCCATTGATGTTCCTTTTGATATACGGAATAATATTTTGGGGTAATTCGGTAAATGCTCATTCTACGTTTATGTTACAAAAGAGGTGTTTGCGAATTATATATAAAATTGACCCACTTGAATCTGTAAGACCAGTATTTATAAAATATAGATACCTAACATTGACTTGTATATACATACATTTGAAATATGTGTATTTGTAAAAAATCATGACGAATATTTTTGTAAAAAAAAACTGACTAAAGCTAATATTCGAGCCCAATATAAAAATGACATGAATACTGTATTATCGACTAGCTATATATTTAACAAAAGAGTTATAAGTGGAATTAAAATCTTTAACAATTTGCCCAATGACATTAAAGATTTAAATTTATTGGAATTTAAAATTAAATTAAAGAAATGGTTAATAGGTAAATGTTTTTATAATTTAAAAGAGTATTTTCGAAAATTTTCATAGCATTTACCACCGCTGATGAATATTGTACGTCTGAAACGGGCAGCTGTCTAGAACTAAGACATTACTTGTACTCAACATGATAATAAAGCTTTCTATTCTATTCTATATTTACCCACTTCAAAACACAAAATTCATATTATTTTATTAAAATGCAATCGTCGGACATGTTTGACAAAACAATCGACTCGCCAGTACAAATTTCAGATCTGTCAATAAAAAATCTTAAGTTTCATCTATGTCCAATTTTGCGCTGTCATTTTTTATGTGTAAATGCAACGATATGTGAGTGTCGTACTTACAATTTTGTTTCTGCGAAAGTATGTTGGACTGCATTTGTGTGCATATTCCTTCCCCGCAAAAAGCGGCAGAAATAATGATTTCAGTAGTATTATGTCATTATGGCTACTCCCCATATAGCCGCGTCGGCTGTGTTGCTCTGAGGTTGAGAGATCCTTTGAAAATAATATTATTATATTAAGACTAGCTGACCCGGCGAACTTTGTACCGCCATAAAAAAATAGGGGTTGATTTTAAAGGGTTGAAAATTCAGGGTTATATGTATTTAGTAATGCTGTATTATAAAAAAAATTTAAAAAAATCTAAAATTGGAAAAAAAAATTTAGGGTTGGATTACCCTTAACATTTAGGGGGATGAAAAATAGATTACATCCGATTCTCAGACCTACTGAATATGCATATAAAATTTCACGAAAATCGGTCGAGCCGTTTCGGAAGAGTTTAACCACAAACACCGCGACACGAGAATTTTATATATTAGATAGGTAAATAACATTTTGAATTTGCTGCTCGGGTCTGAGCGCCCGTACGGAGGACCTTCACGTTACTGAAAATCACGATATAAGAACTGGAATGTTTGTTAGTACGGATTGGAATCAGCCACAGGTGATGACTGGAGCTGCACACTCTCTGCCGCTTCAGCTACCTTTGCGGCAGAATTCCATGCAATTGACATCTAGTAAGCTGCGGTAATTTGTTGCTCCATCTAGAAATTAATACGGGTGGATGCAAAACAAAGCTTTGTAGGTTCATCACGATCGGACGTAGATCGACACGGACACGCCCTGGAGGGTAGTAGCCGTACGCAACTTTCCTCTCTGTCAAAGTACCTTTAAGCCCAACTGGGCACTTCTTTAATGATATAAAGAAGTGGGCAAGATTTGGTGGTGTATTAAATCTTTGTTTAAATATAACCTTATTATCACAATAAAACTAGACATGCGTTCAACACTAGTTTAAGAAAAAAATACATACTAAATTTGCCTTATGCAAGGTTTGAAACCGCGTCTTACTTTTTTGTAGCATGACCGTTATTGTCGTAATTTCAGGAGTTATCTTATGAATAAATGTATGTACAGCTGTAGAAGTATTTTCAAGCGAATTTTGCATTCAAAGTTCGAAAGCAAATCTTAGCGCATGTTAGTACCTAATCTTCATCGCGCAGATGTGTTGAAATAATATAATGAAAATAAAATGAATAAATATTTCCAACACTCACATCAATTAGCCTAGCCTCAAAGTAAGCACTGTAAGGCTTGTTATGGGATACTAGGATAACGGATAGAATACATATACAGTACATATATAAGTATATTTATACAGAAATACATATTAAACATCCATGACTGGAGTACAAATATGCTCGTAGCTATTCATCAAACAAATATCTACCCCCACCGGGATTCGAACCCGGGACCTCTCGAGTTGGCAACACCATGAAACCCGGCGTGCAAACTACTCGGACACAGAGGTCGTCAAATATGATAACTTCGAAGCGAAGTCACAGCATCAACCGCACAATTGCCATAATTAACTCGCTTAATTGATTGTTTATCACTGAATCATGCGAAAGGTCGCCTGACTGACAATGGGTAAGTGCTTAGTTTACGGGCAATTAAGTGACTAGTGGCGTGACAGCGGCCGCCGATCAGTCATTACCTGTGTTGTGCTGGTAAACGTACCCAGCACCCAGTAGTCTCGGTGTAAGCTATCGCGGGTTATAGCAAACTTTGCTATCAGTTATTACTTTTTTCTAAGCACGATATTTGAATAACAATATACAACGAAGTTTAAGAATTTGCAACAATTTGTTTTCACTGCACACGTTTTGGAACTAATCAATGAGTATTAAGTATCTTTTTTCATTTGTTGTTACACTCGGGAAAATTTTGGATTCAAATTAAATTCATCTATATTAATTACTGAATACACTTTTCTTGTGCTCTCATGATTTTTACATATATACATTAGTTTTACATGTATATCTCATTAAGTAACTTCTAAAACTAAAAATATCATTGATTGTTTAAGTGACTTTCCCAAATATTAAAATTAAAACCCATTGTTTTCTTCTCGTTTTTCAAGATATTTTAGTAATCAAAGGAAACCTTATACTATACTTAGTTTGATAATAATTGAGATTACTAAATATTTGACTACTTAGAATTTCATGCCATTGTGTTCTGTAAAAGTTTTAAGTCGATGTGTCCTGTATCATGTAATGTCCATCTCAAAATCAAATAAAGGAATGTAAGTAACTCGCAATAAAAAACTAAATTGAGTGATGTTTACTTTATAATGGTCAATTTAACAAACAACATTGCAAGTAACACAAGCAAACTCAAATTGAAACAGATCTAACAGTCAACTTTTAACTTATCTGAAAACAGCTGTTCTTTATGTCAAATAATAAACTTGAATGCTTATAGGTATTGTTTGAAGTTTTCTAATATGCTTATGTAGTACGGCCATGGAAA